AAGTTACTGCAAACTTCGGTAAATATTAAAATTTGTACAAATAATAGCGTTGTCGAATGATATTTTTTCAAATATCTCGCACGCCCTGTATAATTGACAAAATCTGAAACTCTCTCTCGACACAGTTTACAATACTGTTCAAGTCAAATTATCCCATCTTTAGCAGTTTTTCATTTATGGCCAATAATTTAGCCCCAAAAACGGAAATTTTAAGGAACTTTAAGATTTTCTGCCAATAATCGACACACCCTGTATATAATTCAAACAATGTTCCAAATAGGGGTGATATCCCTGGATCTCCCATGTGTCCTGGTGTATGATTTTTTCCAATAGAGTAAGTGATTTTCAAGAAAATACTTGTTTTCTGAAACCATGCAGTACGCCGTAATAATCAATGACGTCATCGCGTCTCGATTGAAGGCGAGAAATTATGACTTTCATTTGGATTTTTTCAAATATCTCGAACAGCGTATGTAAATACAAAAAATTTACCTCTCGGTGTGGCTTATTACACTGTTTAAACCAATTGGCCATATTTTTCACGAATTTTGATTTACGGCTAATAATTTAATAGCGAAAAGAACGATTTTGATGGTCTTTTAGATTTTTGTCTATAATTGAAAAACCCTGCATACAATCGAGAAAATGTCTGAAATAAAAGTCATAGCCCTGGATCTTCCGCATTTTCTGGCTCTAAAATTTTGCCGATTGGTTAAATGGTTTTTGAGAAAATCATGTTTTTCTGGAAGACAAGTTAAGCAAAGAAAATTTTTCAAATTTAAAAAATATATATTTGGTGACATTTCACTACGCTCAATTTCTATTGTTTAGATGTGCTTACGGACTTTTACTTCCTTGCCAAATTTGAAGTCGATGACTACATATTTGAGACACCTATGACGTTTTAGAATATAGCACAGAATATTCCGAACACCCTGTACAATATATAAAAACCTTAAAGACAAAAGTCTTAGCTGTCCATACGCGCTATACAGAAATGTGAAAGAAACTGACAACGGACGGGAGCTCAATTTTCAGTTTCTTGCAAATTACCGACGCACCCTGTACATTTTTAAAAAATCATTAAGAATAAAGGTTTTTGATCCGGATCTTGCGCGTCGTTTGGTTAAAGAATTTTTTTAATCGCACATACCATCTTGGAGAAATGATTTTTTCTCGGTATCTCATCGATTTTTCGAAAGTAACAAGATATTTCTGTCGTCCATAGTAGTCATATTAGCTTTAGGAGTGTAGATTTTATGGCATTCAAAAACCGCGACATAGCCAATTCAATTTTTGTATACTACGGACGCTTCATGACTATGCCGTTCAAAGAATTCGATCTTTACGAGTAACCGCGATTGGCTGGTTCTTTTACGTCATAGTTGTTGGAGCGGTACTGACATCTTTTTAACCCCCAAGTACGACGATCTGATCAAAACTATTGAGGAGTTGGATCACAGCGATCTGTGTTCGATTTTTACAACGAAGGGGTTTACCGAGACCCTAGTAGATCAGATACGGGAAGCGAATTTCACGTCGATAACCTCAGTTATCGCTGATCATAAACGGGCGTCGTTCGTATTACTGCTAAATTATGCCAATCGGTTCGTCCAATACAACGACGATTTTCCTTACAAAATCATGCCTGAACCAGTGATACCAACACTAGGATCCTTTACGTTCAGAAAGAATTCAGCCTTTCTCCGTAGTTTTCAAACGTTCAGTTTAAGAAGCGCCCAATCCGGCGACATCGACAATAAATTAAATTTTCTGATACCAGAACAATTTTGACGCTGCATCATTTGTTCGGTGGATTTTTTATCCTTATTGTCGGCTGACTGTTCAGTTCTGTCGTTTTTTTAACAAAGTTATCGTTAAAACTCAAGCGGAATAAGTAAAATTATTATTATGTCTTACAGTTGAAAAAATGTGAGACGTGTTGGGAAAACAGGATGTAGCAATTGCTGAAAATTTGACCACGTAGGTTTTTGATTCTCGTCTAACGATTTATGTTGCCTCTTGTATCAAAAAGGAGCAAAAACTTTGATTTTCGTAAATGAGACCCCTTGTATCTTGACATATTAATTATTTTCCATAATTTGCTATAATTTAGAACGCTGAAATTTTGGCTGCAATGTTTGCAATTTGAGTACTATAGTTCATATTCAACAACAACAACTTCTGCCATGTACAAGATAATTTCTTTATCGCCCTTTATATTACAAAATAATATATTTATAAGTGTTAGGTAGCTATGACATGTGACACATGTATTTATGAACAATTGATAGTCATTGCATTGACAAACAAATATTTTAGTAACGAAATTTAAAAAGTAAATAAAAAAGAACTGAAATCAATGAAAATAATCAAATTAAATTCTAAATTTATTTTTTATTACCTGTGGAGAATGAGGACGGTCTAAAATACGAACATGTAAAAAGTTTACCGAGACGTAACTACCAACACGTGAATATGAGGAAGTATGTACCAATAGAAACCTTTTACATGGTCGCATTTTAATCCGTCCAGACTTTCCATAGATAATGACAAGAAATGATCAGAAAGTAACGACGGGGACAAAAATGGTAAAATGTGCCATTTAAAAAATCAAATTTGTACCGCGTCAAAAACATAGGCGACAAAATTTTTCGCCAATTTCTTTGTCCCGTTTTCCCAAAACGTCAAAAGTAAGACACGCTGTATATCACATAAATACTTACTTACGAACTAATCAGAAGTGGCTAGAGTTCATCTTTTGTAAAAACGACTTTAAAAAATGCGGGAGTACAACGTTACCAATTTCCCACAATCGCAATATCTCATTGATCACCATAATTAAATTAATTTTTATTATAAAGGCAAAATCACCCTCTAGATTTTCCACAATGGTAAGCTTTTTACAGATTTCATACATGATATCACGGATTTCACAAAAATTTTAAGAAAAAATAAGCGAATTTCCCAATGATTTTATGGAACATTATTTTAAAACCACTGTTCAAGTGGGATAGTGTTTTGTCTGTGTCAGTGCTAGATTAATAAAATGTTACAGTTAATATTAAAGTAAATGCCAAAAAATAACAGATTTTTTTCTTTCAGACGTCAGGTTCGTTAATATTTTGACGTTGTCAATTCTAGCGATCATGACGTGTGTATTCGTGTTATTTTGCAAAAATATACCCAAAAACTAATGATCTTAGAAAAAGCACATTATGCGGCACATCGATAAACTTCTTCGTAGCTCGTTTATTAAGCACTTGGTACGTTCGTGCCAAATGAAACTCGTGACAAAAACAGCGGTTATGAAACTTGTTGTACAATATACTACTGTAAGATTCATATCCATATATTTTCAAAACTGGCAAAAAAATTATATTTTTCAAATTTGGTTACTTCATTTTTCTCTTAGAATTTACAAAAGTAATTTCCTTAAGAAGTTACAAGAAATGAGAATGAATGAACTGAACAAAAAAAAATTTTGTGTGTTTCCTTATATACAATCCCCATTATCGCATCCCATACAGAGTGTCTTATAAATTTAAAGATTTAGGGTTGTACTAAAATCAATAGGTCCATTCACAATATATTTTATTTTATTTATTTTATATATTTTATTTTATTTTATTTTTTTATATCTTTTATTCATATAAATAAGCATGATTACTAAATTTAACATTTTTTGAAAATGGAAAGCAATTATTTATGATCATTATCATATCATTTATCTTTTGAAAAATCTGAATCTATAAATGAGAAAGTGGGACTGTTCTCTACTCGTGCATTTTCGATTTTCATTTTTTTTTAATAAGTCACACATGAGAAAGTAGAAATACAAAAAGATTTTTTTTTAGATTAATTGATTTAATATATTAATAAATCTGGAAAAACTCAGTACCGTTCCATGATTTAGATTACCCTCAGGGACGACACTGAAAACTTTTACCAAAATCATCTGATTCATATTCTGATGATTAGGCCCTTAGTACTGAATTTTGAAACACCCTGTATATTGCTTGCATTATTCCGACCAGCATCACGGCATTTCATACACTTATTCTGTGTACCGCATCAATTTGTAGATAATTTCCGTTCATGTTTTCAATTTATGCCAGAAAGGAAGACAAATTCAATATTTTTTCTAAAAATATAAAATAAATAGTTTTGGAATGCCTTTTGCGTTAACGGTTTAAAAAGTAGATCCGAGGTTGAAATCTTTACGCTCTGGATTACCTATGTAATAAGTAAAAAAAATGTGACTCTATTATTTGGACTCCTTTTCATTTTCGCATTAATTTTTATAAAAATTTTAACAACCATAGAAGAGGAAAAAGTAACAATGCAACGTGCGATTTATTTTAAAAATTGTTATGGAATAAAACGAAGAAAATTACCATTCTTAAAAATATTTGTTGATTTTCTGAAATGACTCGGAATTTCGTAACTTTCTAAACGGCCACTAAGATAATTTAACAAATCCCGAAAATCTCTGATAAAATAAAACTCATCTGGTCACACCATATGGCTATTAGATAATATAGTGGCCCTACTACGATAAAAATTGATGCGCCGCAGAAGAGAATGATTTTGCGCCCATGCCTCTATATTTTTCCCTCTAACCTGAATGTTGCGCCATTTTCTTTCTAATCAGTGATATCCTCACACTTAATTCGTTTTCACAGAACATTTATCGAGATCTAGCCATATTTTGAGAAAATACTCCGTAAAAATGCCGCATCCAAACTTATTGACGATCTGTCAACGGCCATGTTGGTTTTTGAATGCTGCAAGGTCATTGTTTAAAAGTAGGGCTTTACATATCGTGTATGCGCAAGTTGAATGGACCTTCTCAAATTATTTTTCATAGTTGCTTCGTAAGTTCCTGTACAGCTAGTAGCCATATGGGTCACACCAACGTACGATTAATTAATTGTAAGATTAAGTAATCACGTTGTGCCATTCAGGTGACAAAATTGAATAAAAAAGTGCAATCTCACCTATTGGTCTCGCTTGTCGGTTCTAGCTTCACCTCTACCAAAGGCATTTTCGTAAGATTATCAATTTTTCCTCCATTATTGTCGGCAACTTCGGTAGGAATTTCCAACTCTTTCAGTACGTCTTCTAATAGCTTAATCACGATTTCCTTATTGTCAACACACTTGTTAGCTGAATTAATATTTTCTTTATTTTGGCAGCCATTATTCACCGACAAATGCAACTTGGGCGTATAGTGCTTCTTCTTTATCTTGTGGCTGTAGAGAATTTCGTGCGACTTAAACGTTCTGTTGCAGTATTCGCAAAATGTTAGTTTCGGTAGGTAGAACAAATTAGCGAATTCGGAGCACTTTTTCAACCAGTGCGTAGACGCGCTCACGTACGAATCAAATATTCGGGAGCAATTCACGCACTCGTAGTTCTTCTGGGTCGTATGTGTCCTCTGGTGCATCAGAAGCAGATTCTTGTCCGAGTACGTACGGTTACAGAATTCGCACTGCAACAGTATTTCCGTCAGTATTTTTTCCACGTGCTTGTTTCCCGATTGGACATTATACTCTTGTCCGAAGCAAACTGTCTCGGAACATGCGGAACTGTGGTAAGTTCCGATCTCCAACGAAGAAAATACCTCGTGGCATTTCGTGCATTTCCAAACAGTCACGTCGCTTCTGTAAAATTTGGAAATGTCGCCGCCTTTCTTGCAGTGGTTCTCTTGGTGTATGCGCAAACGATTCTCACTGATAAAACTCTTTTTGCAATGCTCGCACGAATTCAATGTCATGTTTTCGTGCGCGGCCACGTGGCGTTCTAAATTACTCTTGGTCACGAATCTTTTGCCGCAAATACCGCAATCGTGCTTATTGTTGACGCTTTCGCAGCCTTCGCGATCTGCGGACTCTCTCACAACCGTTTTCTCGATATTGAACTGGCACTGATGTCGTTGGTATTGGTACTTCGTCGGAAAATTAGTTTCACAATTTTGACATCTTATCAAGGAAGGAAAATTCAGGTGCCCCTCCGTGTCGACTTCCTTCGAGCTTTCTTTTAATTCTTCGATCACGACGGATGCATCAGAATTAAAATAGGGCGTGCTCAAATTTAAACCATTTATAACATATGTACTCGAATCAAATCTTTTATTTGTTAAAGCGATGGTCGTCCTAACTGGTTTGTTCCCATTATGCGGTCTAAATTCGTTTTTTACTACCGAAACGATAGCATCTGCTACTATTCTGTAAACGAGAATCACCACATCGCTCATTCTTAAACCACTAGATATTTGCACGCGCAGTTTTCTATCGTAATAGCTGTGCTTTGAAGTAAAGCTGATTTTTTAGATAACTTTTAGTTTTGTCCGCACAAAAACATTTGAAAATAACAGTCTGCGTTACCTAGGAACCTGGTTACCAAATGTTTTTAGAACGGTGCGGAAAAATGCAATTACGCAATTAATTGGTCGCCAACCACAAGTCGCCAAAGCACAAAATACTGAAACTTACAAATTATCTTCATATTATTTTTGAACAAGCGCCATCGGTCATCAGAGATTATACTGTAATATCATCAGCATTGCCAACCAATGCATTTATAAATATTAGTTCTGAATTCCGTACTTGCAAAAATATTGAGAAAATAAAACTAAGTATATTTTATTGCTAATAATCGGGGAACTAATTTTACTATTTGCTTTTTAATAGCTAGGTATACAAGATCCATTTTGCTATTTCTTTGTTGAAATATTAAAAAACTAACTAAAAAACATTAAACAAAGCAGGAATTTTTACTGTCTACGATATTATTTTCACTAATCAGAAATTCAAGTGTATTCAGAAATCTAGCTAATCAGGCCTCCGATTAACGGCTTGGAAGCTAAAGTTAATTGATTGAAATATCTGTGGTCCGTGAAAGCATGATATGCCAGAAACAAAAATGTCAAATACAAAAATGATTCCAAGTTAACACCTGTTAACCTACTTCGTAGAAAATTCACAGTTTCAAGAGCGTTTTTATTTAATTTTTTTTAGTAATTCTGTTGGTTTTCGAAACCAATGTTAAATTAACGACTCGCGGGCCCATATCATGTCGGCAATAAGTAACGAATCTCAAATACGATATTTATTACAGTGGTTCAAGGAATGGAGTGAATTTCAACGAACAGATTTTTTGCCAATATTAGCAGAAAATTATGCTTACGGAGCATACATGAACGGCATCGTAAATAACATTGGAAATATGAATTTTAGAGATAAGCCAATGACCTTATTTGAATGTAGAGTAAGAATTATGTGCATTATTTGCTTTTATCCATTAGATATAAATTATTTTTCAGGTGAAATTATTTAAAGAATGGTTTATACAGTGGAGTCTGGAACAGAAGGAACATTTCCTCAAAAAAATAGGCGAAATTGATCCCACATTTATGGAGAAACTGCAAGTTGAAATACAAAAAAGGCCTGAACTAAACAACGAATCTAATACTAATGCAAATGAGTTGCCTTAATGACAAAGAGATTGAAAATATTGATTGGCATGGTAAGGTGAACTAAGAGGGCGGTCAACAGTTGACGTGATTAATTTAAGGAAGGGAATCGTCTGTTTATTTAGGCAAGGTTGTCAAATTATTCTTCTCTGTGAAATGGAATATTCATTTCACCAGGACTAGTTTCATATGAAGGACTTTGTGATAATAATTGAAATAATAATTTAACAGACTTTTTCATATGCAATGATAGCTAATATAAATGTTAATTATTGAAGTGAAGAATTGGAAATAAGTTAATATATTAATGTTATATGGAATTAATCTTTTAATAAGTTGAGCCCTTTCCTTCTTTGGTTTTATAACATATTTGCCTAAGTGCTAAGCAACATTGGGCTAATCTGTACAATAGAGATTTTTTGTTTTTATTTAGTTGGACACAATTTTATATCTTGATCTGCCATACTTTACAAAACTGAGTTTGTAAAACTAAGATTAAGTTGCCAATTTTACTTCTAGTTCCCTTTCAATCTCTCTTTTGATCAGGTGTGATGTGTTAAGTACAACATGATGGAAAAAAATGTGTAAATATCATTCACTCTATGCATAGGCAATACAATTGAGTGGATCTTTGTATCTTCTTAATATTGGATTTATTTCCTGTGCTGAGAGTGCCCTAATAGTTGCAAAAGTTTTCAATGAAATAGAACATAGCTTATTCAACCCCGAAGCTAATTTTAATGACCAAAAAAATCTAGGGGGGTAAGCAGGGAAAAACTGCTATAAATATGTATAAATATATAATTTATTTACAATATAAGAGATGTGAGAACAATAAACAACATAAGAATTATAGTAACTCAGTTGAGCCGCGATTAACCAACATGGTATTTTGAACTGATTGTTTTAATTATATTTCTTCTTAATTCTTGCAAGTTAAAAGTTATGGAAACTACTGACTACAACCTCGGCTTCTTTTTAAATTGATAGAGAAAATAAAAATATATATTTGTAAATAATATGACTCAGAACAAAAAGTTGGATAATCCCGACTTACAAGTAAATATCACAACAAATATTCCTTAAACATTTAATTTTCACTAGCCGAATCAGTTGAATGAGAAAAACTCTGTAAAAATTTGTGGCATAGAGTTTTAATGTTCGCTTGATTTGTAAGTTCCGCTTCTCTCAGTATCCTCCGAACATCCGAAATTCTTTTATATTTCACAGCCAAGAAATATGCGGTTTTAAGCTGTTTTGCTTCAATGTATGCGGATATCTAAAATAAAATGTATACAGCCAGTTTGTTCGGCCCATATGATATATAAGCGCAATAGATAATTTGAATGTTAGTTCTTATTAAATTTTATTTATTTAAATAAAAAGTTAAACAAGTTTAAACTTCGAATCACCGACTCGTTCGTCTATCGGTTTTGGGCCATCTTGTAAAACTACAAATAAGGGGACACCAACAAAACTAGTTATTAATATTAATGTCTAGCTAATTTTGTTGGGTAATATAATAATATAATAATAAATAGTGACACAAAACATATATTTTACACTAAACTATATTCATATAGGTATTTTTCTAATCTCTTTCGCAATACTGTTTCCATTAAATTTTTAATCTCAATGAAACTGATTTGATAAAACCAAATCGCTTTAATTATTATTTTTGATAATTTAGACAAACTAAACCACACTAAAGAAAACTCCATGTTAAACTCAGCAGTAATTATGGAATGTAACTTGTTCAATTTTGTAATTCTGTGCTCTAATTTTTAAACATTATTGATGGCTTTATGTGGTGGCTTAGTAAGGAAGCTAGCGAGTTGCTTGCTGCCTTCGTGACCCTTCTTGAGTTGAAGCATAGCCGAACTATAATGTGTGTCTAAAAATTCAACATTTTCAAAATCACCTCGTTTCTATTTATGGCACTTTCATTTTATAAAAAACTAACCTTGAGTCACGAAACTCGCAACACGCCAAACCATCAAAAAGGATTGCAGAATTTTTTGCGACACTGTACTACTTTTTTGCCACGCGAAAGATGCAAACGAAATTGTCTTAGCCCGCTTATACTTCGAGCTAAATATTAATCCCACTTTCAAGTACTGTATCTTGGTGTTTGACAGCCACAAATACCTATATATTTTTGTCTCTCTTTACAGATTTTTCAATTCTGAATTCAAAAATATAAGTTGTTGGGCACTTTGAAGTAACCGTTTTGAATATGCAATAGATTTAGTTTGTGGACAGTCAAAAATCATTTTAAATGTCTTATACCTTCTGACGAAGCAGACGAATCAGCGAGTTAAAACAATGACGTGATAATTTAAATTATTGGTGCCAATTAGTACAAAAACTAAAAATATTTTAATTCATTTTTTACCTTCGATGTTTTATCGCTGATCAATTTTATCAGATTTTCTACCTCGGTTCCTGCAACATTGCTTTTCGTCAAAGTTGAGACGGCCAAAGTGAGCATCTCGTCGCACATGTCCAACACTATTTCATTGTTAGTCTCAGTCTCTTTAATACAGGTAACTAATTCCGCAATATCACCGTAACGGCCCACTTGCGCCAGCAACTTTCCCGATTCATTATACACTCTCACAGGATTGAGCTTAAATTCTTTAATGATTCTGAAAAAACAGACCAACAATCATATTTTATTTCATATTTTAAAGGACGAAAATGTAACTACCAATAAATCGGAATTTAATCAAAAAGCATAGCTGAACCGAACACACAGCTCGGGCACTCTGCTGATAGAAGAGGTTTACCAATCTTTATGCAGTTGCAGTGAAGAAGCAGTAGTTTTTCAAGAATTGTTAAAATTGTTGTTAGTCACTTTCGAAGTTGTTCCACAAGCAGCAATAAATCGATTTAATTCAAAGAACTTTCGTTCCTAAACAGAGTGAGAGCTAGGTCGGATTTTTTTTTATTATGTAGGAAATATTAAATATTTTGTTGGTTTATTTGTATAACACGTAAGGTTTTTTCAATACCTTTGAAAATGGGAATTCAATGCAAATCGGTCAGTACAACTTGACCCAACATATTTCAATTCTAAACCATATCACAGCTTGTTTAGGTTATACTGAAAGAGTAAGAATACATTTCACTTTCAAAAAAATCAACAACAATGTATATCACTGTTCGTTGTTCATAATTATATTTGTTTTTAATTTTATCTGGATCTCTCCAGTAATGACTTATGTTTAATAGTTTTCAGGTAGCAAAATCAATTTTCTTCCCATAATTTTTTAACCCAACAAATTAAAAATAAAATATTTTGTATACTGGTAATGATTACAAGTACCAAGTGGCTTAATTTTCAGTAATGGATAGAAACCTATGATCTTTAGTGTCACTACCTAAAGCGCTTACTGAAAAGTGGAATAAAGAAAAATGTGAATTCCGTTCCAGATTTGTTTCCTACCAGCGGGGCTGGAGTCCCGAGTTGTGTGTCAGGTTCAGCTGTGTGAAAAATATGCATTACCTCAGTGCAATATCGAACCCTTCTCTTATTGTTTTGCCACAAACAATGCACAAACAAGTGAGATGCTTCTTTTCTAAATTAGACCCAAATAATGTTGGGATATTGGATTTTTTACTGTGTGTCGAATCTAAAACGATGTTTAAATGTTAATTAGTACGGCAAAACGAATTATTAAAATAACTGAACTAGTGACGTACACCAGGGAGTAATGAAACTAGGGAGTCTGATCAAATAGACAAACATAAATAAAGCCCTAGACATAGTTAGGAAGGTGGTCACAATAGAGGTGTTAACAAAAAACTAATCACAAAATAATCAAAAATAGAACTGTTGCAAAAAATACAACTGCGTCAGTTTTAGGGGAAAAAAAAAGAAATGCGTCTATTGGTCGTGACGTCAGTGGTCGTATCGAGGTTTTCCCGCAAACTAGCGATCCATTTTTTTAAAAATTCGTTTCTTCCACAGTATATTTGAGGGTGCACCAACAAATACCGTGTTTGGATTAATTTTCGAAGTATTTGCCGCCGGGGGCAAAACACCACTATTTTGAACTCAGTTTCAGACGACATTAAGGACTTTTATTTCAAAAACACAGTCCGAAATTAACAGGACGTTACAATGAATTAACCTTGCATCCTGTGCGTTTTCTAACGACCTCAATTTCTTTATTTATAATTCGCAATTATTTTAGTTAATACTTATTCTCAATCAATCAATCAAAGCCGCAAAATCTATTATCCATCTTATAAAACCTGAAAAATAGCTTCCTATAGTACTTCAGAGTCGCAGTGACAGACAAATCAAAGCTAACTTTCCCAAACACTTTTTTTCACATCTGGCGTATGAGGCTGATTTTTAACAAAATTATGTGCTTTTAAACTACAAATTAATTAACAACTCACAACATAACACAACAGTAAATATACCTTTATCTGGCGATGGTCGCAACTTGGACAATAGTTTCATGGGACTGCTTATATTGCATGTCTCGCAATTTGCTAAAAAATTCACAACCACATTTTCGATTCTAATGGTTCTTATGTGCCTGTGTACATCTTTTACATCAATTTTCATGACTAGAGTGGGATTTAAGATGCTTTTCTCTTCAAACTCCGGCGTCACGTTGACCCACTGCTCTTGCTCCAGTACCTGTTTCAAATGGTTTTCGGCTCTCTTTAGAAAACCAGCGTTTTGCTGCAAGTCTAAAAAACGATTGGAGTCGCTTTCGTAAAATCTGATACAGGAGACGGCAGCTCGCATATAATCGCCCATATAGAGTTGCAGTTGATATAGGGAGTTCAGCATGTTTTGTTTTTCCAAATAGAAACAAATATGATTGAGATGCTCCTAAAATAATACATCATTCATCCATATTTTATTAATATCACAAACGTTGTTTGGATTAACTTAAATTTTTTTAAATATAAATTACATAAAATGTTTGTATTTTCGTTTTGATTTTTTAAATAGTGTATATATTTTTGAAAAAAAAAAACTGATTTGAAAAAGTTGTAGGCTTCGAAAAAATGGTAATTGGCCAAGATCACGGCGAAACAGAGAAAAAACAATGGAATCATGCGCGAAAATTAAAACATTTCAAGCTATTTCAATTTGTTTAATTTCTAATAATGAAAAAAATTATATCAAAAACATTTTGACATTTGCCTGAAAAATATTCAGATAATCAGTAAGTAATAGTAAAACAAATAATTTGAATCTGACAAAAAACACAGATTATGAACTTAAGGGTCACTTTAAGTTTCATACTGATTTGCACATTGTGGCAGAACATATATACAGGCTGCAATATGCATAGGCGATTGAATATACCAGTTTAGTTATTATTGTGGTTGAATTTTAACAATCTATCTTGGTTTAAAACAATTTAGTTCTGTTTCATTCTTCTCAATGTATTTGTGGATGATATTATTACGGACATTAAAATGTCAAATATATCTGTTCTTATGTTAAATATTACCAAAATTAGCTTTTCTAAAATAATATTATACCCAACCCATTATTCAAATTTAATTTTATGACCATTTAAGGAACATTTTTGTTGACAAGCTGAAAATTTACGTAACAGTTTAATTACCTTTTTTTTTTAATTTGTAGGACATTATTTTTCAAAGCTCGGCAGTTGCTAATGTCTGGGTAATACTCACCTTCCAAAGTTCCAAACTAGAGTCAATCTTGGACATATTCGTTTGCAGAATTTCCACCACACCATCCTTCAAACACCTAGTGTATATTTCGGCGAATATGTCCGGACCCAATTTACAAGAAACAATGTAGTTGAGCGCCTCTTCGAAATGTCCGTGCCGGATATGAAACTCGACGATACTCAAGTGACTGCCATATCGATTCAAATAATACAAACACTCGTTATATAAAAAGTCATCGATGGCCGGTTTGTTGGACGTTTGCAATCGGTGCGGCTTCTTTTCTGAGTATTTCCCGTTGGCCACGTTTTGAAGGTTGTTTAACTTGGTCAAAATGAACAAAGGCGTTTCGGGTTGACTCGAAAAAGATGCTCCTCTTTTGGAACCGCACTGCTTGAGCACACATTCGTTGAGCAATTCCGTTTTCGATTCTAGGATCTTGACAATTTCATTCAACAATGGGGGGTTTTTCAGCGGTTTATCGTATAGAGTGATGCTGTCTTTCTTGGTTCTCTTGTATTCACTCGCAGAGCTTTTTTCTAATTCGGAAAAGGATGACTCGCGTCCACCATCCAACACCGCCTTGTCCAAGCACTTTCCGAATTTTTCTCTTGCCAACAAAAGGCTCCCCGCTTTCATACAACTTTTGCCCCATGCCACGAATACGCCTACATTAAAAAAAAAAATTATACAGGGTAGTACGAAAGTAGGCATCAATATTTTAGTCACCTATTATCCTTTCTAAAATAGAAATAACAGTTCTTCTAATCTACCAGGATATCATCGTGTTTATTACAGGTTTTCTAAATATTTTCAAAACTTGTAAAGATATGTAAATAAAATTATGATTATTATCTTTATATGTAAACAGGGGGGAGCCTCGGGAAAAAAATGACCAACTTTGAAGTTTTTAAGTAAATTTGACTATAAAATTTGCAAATTTGAGGTTTTCCAAGCAAATAAGATAATCTTCCAGTACCTCGTTACAACGCACTGCATTCGAAAAAAACGCATTAAGAAAATGTTTTGCAGTGATTTTCTTAATGAATGCGTGCACGCTAGGAAACTATTTCAGTTAGTTGTGAATTTGGTTTTAGCGTAGAGGGCAATGTCTCGAAACAAGTGATTAATTAAATTTAAACATTAAATTTAAACAGTGATTGTTAACACTTAAAGTGAACTTAAAAAAAACACCTGACCTTACTATGTAATATTTTTGTGTATATAGTGACAATCAACGATCAGATAAAGATACCAAATAAATTTTGACATATTTGACTCAAGTATATTGTGATCATTCGGCAACATTGTGTTTTTTGAGATGTATTATGTCAATGTTATAAAGAGATGTTGGGCCATGTAAGGTTTAAACCTTTTTTTAAACTTCAATCTGGTGTTTAGACCAAAGGCATTATATCCAGGAGACACGAAAATTCATTCACAAAATATAAATAATGATTATAAACCCGAATTCAACATAAACCGACATTTATGAATCAACAAACACTCTGTATATTGTACCAGTAGTTTCCAAACCAGCTTTAGTCGAAACCTCCAAAGCCAAGTTCCACTGTTCCTTTTCTAACAACTTATCTCTCAACTTCCTAATTGCCAAAGCGTCTATATATGGCGAGTTCTTCGATGTCGGTAATAAATTCATGCAACCCCTTTTCGCCAAAAGATCTAATAAATCCGCTTGCGATATAATTTTGTTCACCAACGATGATCCCAACTGGAGGTTGCAATCGTGGGAAGACATTTTTACAGCAATAGCCATTAACCTAAATGACGTTGTATAATATAAAATTGTATTTAATGAAGTAAAACACATCTTACTTCAACATTTTAATGATTAGGGCGTGATCGATCTCTTTAACAGCTTCTTGCCACGAATACAACAACTGAAGTATGTTTTCGCATTTTTCCAGCAGAAACCTAGCATTGCAAAAAATATTGGTCTACAAGTGCGTTAAAGTATTTAATCTTACTTCGGATATTCTTCACACATGGAATGAAATTTCATCAAAGACAAGCATAAGAACACGTTTGGGGTATGTTCATATGAGAACTCTTCTCTCACAATTTTGTTGTATTGCGGATCAGATGTAAGCGTCCAAATATCAGCCGGTAAAGATTTCGACGAGACCGTTTCGCTTACCTCTGACTCAATCCTATACGTTTGCGCGTAACAGTCACTGCACACTTTGACTAATATATCACCGTAAGTTGGAACCTGCGTAAATGAGTAACATATTAATTAAGTAGGGGCGAATCACATCGAATATAAAGCTCTCAAGGACTAAAAAAGGGAGGCCAATGGAAATATTGAAATTTCAAATTTTATATCCTAGATTTTAGTAATCCTAAATATAATAATGATAAACACCTACTTTAATACCCCACATTTTATTACACTTTTGAATAAACCGACAACGCCAAATAATATCTTCCATCTTATATGTGCCTATAGCTAGCTCATACCATTTGTTTGATTCAAGATACAAAGGAATTATAACATACCACATCAATAACATAACCTTAACGAATAAGAATTATGTGTGCCAATTAGAGAAGTCTGTAAATGATACGCAATCTAGTCTTGCAGTGCTAGTACACCAGTCAGTCGCTGCTCCCACCTCCACACTGAAAATGCTGACTCCAAAAAAAGCCGCGAACAAGATGGGCAAAATATCCGTGGTCGTATTGTCAGAGGTATAAAACAGATTATTAAAAAAACTCCAATCGGCGTTAGGCACCAGCAATTCCTAAGCCGAAGTGTATATTACCAAAACGTCCGTGGCATATGAACCAAACTGGAATAACTCCGTTGCAGCATAGCATTAAACAGTTTCAGGCGAACTTGGATTTGATTCATATAACGTTTTGATTGTAGTGCATTAGGCTATTCCTTTACATCTACTAAAATCATCTGCTATCCACAGGTAAATGCTCAAGTCTATGACATTATCGGTTTGTACAAAAGGCAAATAATAGTTGGCTGTATCTACCTACCGCCTAACTCACCGCTGGAAAAATTTGATAGCTTAAGCAACAACCTCAAGGATATTTCTCAACATTTTAATAGTGTCGGTGCTTGCGTCATGGGTGATTTTAAGCTGCCAAAAGCTGCCTGGATCACCAATGATTTCTGCTCATCTACTTTTTGATTAGAGGAGGGTCACTTGCTCTTAGCAGAGGCTGGTAAAATGCAACTTATTTCAGAGGTTTGCTCTTGCTACAATTTATTTCAACTAAATAAAATTCATAACGTTAATCATGTTATACTGGATCTCGTTCTCTGTCGCTCTAAGTAGCCAATCAAACACCCAACATCGATGAATATCTGCTAGCCGTGAACAAGAACCATTGCTACTGATGGTTGATTTGCACTCAAAACACCTTAAATTGAGATCCCAGGGAGATGGCTATTATTATGACTTCAAATCCGCAAATTTTAAGGACATCAATGTGTACCTGAAATCAATTTCATGGGATACACTCAATATATACTGACTTCTCTTTTCCCGAGATCTTGGGTGTTTCCGGTAATTTATTGCGCTGGAAGGTCCTAGATGGCGCATTTGAACAACTTTACATCTTGCCAAATCTTAGTGTGATCGGCTGTCCCCCAGGGCTTTCACCTGGGATGCCAACTATTCAATATTGTTATCAATGACATTACATCATGTTTTAAGCATAATCTTTTTCTTTGTGTTGACGATCTGAAACTGTTTTTAAGAATAACCACTAAAAATGACTGTCTAGCACTCCAGGAAGACCTATAGAAATTGTCTCAATGGTGCCATAGTAATGGTATGGAACTTAATGTACTTAAGTGTACTATAAGTGTAAGGTTCCATATTGATATAGTATCTTCCGATCTGGCTTTTCTGTATTACTGTTGGGTTCTTTTTGTATTGTTTTGTCATAACTTTTTATAATTTTATATTTTGTCAGCTTGTAAATGTTATTGTTCTTGTAATAATGAGTAAATGGACTTCCCGTCAATAAATAAATAAATAACTAGTAAAAAATAAAAATAGCCAATAAATATTAACTGGGACGTTTTCTTTGACAAATACAATAAGAATATCTCAGCTAATAAACTTCATCAGTCAATGCCAAATCGAACTCGTGACTAAAATGGCGTTTACCAAACTTGTTGCATAATTTGCATATTATAGTATTTTTATTGGAGTGTTGCATATATATATATATATATATATATATATATATATATATATATATATATATATATATATATATATATATATATATATATATATATATATATATATATATATATATATATATATATATATATACACAGAAAGGTTGAATAAAGGAAATTACCAAAATATTTTACAAGAAGATTGCTGTACACATCAAATGAAGAATGGTAGCCTACACTCCAGCTCAGGCCTCAGCACGCCCATTGTGCAAACAAACCTTCCATTACCGCAAGAGAAAAATCAAAAAAATTCTCCTCTTCTTAATTTTCATTTTTGCAAACTTTAAGAATAACCACACTATCCCTTCCTTCACTGTAAACATGTATGATAAACATCAAGAACAAGACACCACTTCTGAAGCAAGCTAGCATGAACCTGCTCCAATATCAATGGAATTGCAATTCCTGCAATTAGGGTTAGACTGATCGCATGTTTATGGTTCAATTTCAGGAATATCTGCGAGACACTGATAAACTTAAACTTCTTAAAGCTGAACAAGTCAGGCCAAAATATCACTAGTATGTCTGTTGAATGTAAATCTTTCTTTTTCCTAAACAAACTGGTTTAATGTAAGCGATTGCCGAAAGGTTTCTTCTTGTCTAGGGCGGATTTCTCCAACTACTTACCGACCGTATAGTTTGTCCTTTTAATATATTGAACTTGTACATACATGTGCTAAGAAAAGAATTTATTATAAGAGTTTATGGAGGAAGACTGTTTGGCTTCTTCCAATTTCAACCACTCCATTAAGAGAAATGGATTATTTTTTCCATCTATTTATATCGTAAATAAATAAGGTGGGTAGGTTTGTTGTGAGCGGTCTTTGTAAATTCAAAAACATTTAAAAATCGTTGGTCTTTAACAAATAGTAGAAGACAATTAAAGAAAAATATTAAATGAAAATTATTGGTCTAGGCGCAGTTAAATGCAGGATGTATAAAGCCACAGTTTTTATATAAAATCTAAACCTTTTACATACGGACGTCACTAAACATTGAGGTGACTTCTGATATGACACTTAACGTAAATTACGTTATATAATCACAATTTTCTCACCATCATTCTCTTTGAGGAACAAGTATAGCAGATCACCCGACCGCACCGCCTGCAGTGGTGTCGTCTGTTGAACATGGAAAAAGTAATATTGGAGCAACACATGCATTCAATCACAGCATTATCTTCCACCCATTCGGATTTTGATGGGACTTCATCTGGCATAACAAACCCTAAACATACAAAACAACTAAGTGTTTGGTGTTGATATACAGAGTTTAGTTTGCCACAATATTTCTTGTATTGATACATTATTAAGAGACACCCTACATACCGAGTGTTCCAGTAAAGGCAACCGGGTTTGGTAGTAAGAAAACGGAAAAAAAATATTTTCTATAACAACTAAATAAATAATAATGTAACTTGACTAAACGTAAGTGCTGGAAATTATAATAATTGATACAATTGATATTGAAACAAATGGAAATCTTTTATGTTTAAAAATCTTTACTCTATCTCTGCTAGACAAGCGGTGGCAGGCGCATTTTCGGCAATAAATATTTATAATTTCAATAAGGCTTAATGTATTTTAATAAACTTGGAGCCTTGAAAAATGGTCTTTTCCTAGGCTATCAATCATGCTATGAGGTGCGTGTGCAACTGCTTACCTTGTCTGCCATGAGGTGACGCTTTCTGACATAATCGCAAAGAAATAATTTTCTAAAAAAAATGCAATATTTTTTTTTATCCTAATCTAAAATATGCATAAAAAAAATTGAATTTTGTGTAGCATTTTCACTTTACGGATTGTTATTAATGTCCAATTATCCCGAATTTATAAAAAAAAAAAGATGCCTAAGGTTATCTGCCATCTTTTTTTGCCAGATGCCCGATAACCTTAAAATTTAAAATAATATTTTGTTATTTATCCTTATTACTTTTCTTATTAAAATTCAAAGAGCGCAAAATAAACCAGTAGTTGGCATTACTACGTTTTGATATCCTTGCGGTTTTCAATTAATTCGTTACTGTCTTTTTCATTAAAAATCAGGCTTAGTCAGCTAATCGCAACTGAAGAAAACTAATTACATTAATTATTGAAAAGTAGTAAAATGTATGTTGAGATAATCAGTATTTTTGGTTCAATCCAATTTTTATGCAATAGAGCAGTAGGAGACTTTGATAAGTATGAAACGACATAAGAGATGCGCACTTCAGGCATTTTCTTTCTACATTGCGATATCCATACGTTTAACTCCTTTTTGTCTGAAGACTTAACGCCGCATCCAAACTTATTGACAATCTGTCATTTTTTGTCAAGCTTCTCAAAATTTATTTCATAGTTGCTTCATAAATTCCAGTATTACCAGCATTTGCCCTGCATCTCTAGTAGCCATATGGGTTTACCACATTTTAGCATTTAAATATGTCAATGATTAATACAATTGGTTAGTCTCCAACAATTGAGAAGTGACTGAGTTGGTAATTAAACCTCATTTTTAATAAGTTATTAATTTTTAATTATTGGTAATATTAAAAATTGAAGAAGGGGTAAGGATTGATATCCGTACCCTTTTTTACTTACAACCATAGTAACATGGTTTAATTTGGTGCCCTTGGAAGGTATTATAGAAAAAATTATTAAATAAAAATAACAATATTTAATTTTATATTGGTGGAAGATAAGCAATCGCGTCAATCATAATCCGACTGATAGTCTAAGAAAAGTTTCGCGTTGGAGTTATTGACAGTTATTTCTGAAAATGGCCAAAAAGCACTAACCGTGAAAAGAATTCATAGCATTTCCTGTTGACCGATTTAGTTAATATATTTTTGTTTAATTTGTAAGCACTTCCGTGTCTCTAATACCACATCTGGACGCCCTCACTGATACACCAGGTATGTATATAACGAGTAAATCAAATTTGACGCTAATACCAATCAATAGTGTTCTCAGTATAACATCGTATAATGTTGCCGATTTTCTTGGGTACATTGTAGTCCTTTTTCTGGATTAGCTTTAATTATTTGACATCAGATTCAATTGTGAAAAAATAAATAATTTGCTAAAGCTTGCCCATTTGTCAAATCACAATGGACAAAATACAAAATGATTAGCAAGCGCCCTTACCTTTATTAAGAGATTCGTCCAATAAAGAATCCAGCGACTGCATCAATTTGTTTTCTGAAAACTTCCTTAATTTATGAGGCAGACTATTCAAAACGACATTAAAATCTAAACTCTTCTCGGCATAAAATCGTATAAGTTCGTCGATTTTCTCAGCCGATATGTTGGAGGCTTTGTACTCCTGATTCTGAATTACCGGCTTAATGACTTTTAACACCCCGTTGAGTTTCTCCAATTTTGTGTTCATTATGAGCACTTCTATGATGGCCAGAGGATCGCCCAAAAGGTGGAAAAATGGATCCAATTCATTTGAAGGAAAAGCGGACAACATTTTTAAACTAATTTTGACATTTTGAAGCCACTCGTCTTCGACATTGCTTGCCAAATATTTCACCAGAAATTCGATATGTTTTAAATTATTTAAGGAAGATAGCAGTTTACATCCCAAATTGTGTGTATGCTGGAGTGGCAATTTATTCAAAAAAGATTCTATTAGATTATATTCTACGTCTGAAGTGAAAAGCGAATGGACGTCACACTCTGTAATGTTATGCAATACAGCTTCGTCCAAAGGATGTAATTCAATAAACTCTATCAGGCACTCTATCTGAAAAAAAAATTACGTTAATATTATCAAAATCAAAAGTTTGATAATATTAATAAGCAACAGATTAATCGTCATTCTTTGGTTTTTTCAAAAAACTAATAATGTAAAACGGAACGCCAATAATTAATAATAATAATAATAATATTAATTAAATTATTACAATTATCTGAGAAAGTAATTGGACGGCTTGAAAAAAAAAGAAACTTCAAAATTCCTTGATGAAAGAAGATATTTAGAATTTCAATTGTCTTCAATACTAACTTTCACAACAATTCAACTGGTCAAGTAACTCAAGTCGTCTTCAAATCAATACTAAACAAATTTTCTTCAATAATGGTTTCCAAACGTTACTAATATCTAAACAGAATTTGCTAATGTGCCTTTTTTTGCAGATAATTTTGAATAAGAATTATTTTAAAAATTAAATTTAAATAAAAAAAAAACAATTACAAAACCGATTTCTAAACCACTTTGAATTGATCCATTTGTGTCAAATTTTAAGACAAAATATAGAGTTCATGAAACAAAGTTTTTGAACAACAATTTATTTTAATTTTGCAATAATCGTTTTAGAAAAGAAAATTGTAATTTCTGACTATAGCAGGTACTAAGCAACCTACTAAGTATTACCTTTCTAATTTCCAGAAGCCTTTTAATAACCTGAACAGGGTCTTGAGTACACAACTGGAAAACATCCACCCATGTTCCAAGATGCAGTAAATCCATAATCTGAAGAAAAACCACAAAAGCAATTTCAGAAAAATATTTTCTCGATACATATTTGATATGTGTGAATTTGTTGGGATAACCACCCACCCCAACAAATTCCCAATAAATTGTAAAAACAACAATAAATTGATGGATCAATTTAAACTTATAAAAGTATAAATTTAGATTAGCAGGTTTTATCCTGACATGTAATATAAAATTTCAAGTTTCCACACAAAATTGGTGTTTTATACGCATCACATTTTTTCTTGGATCTAGTAGAGCTATTGGTAAAATAACAAATATGCAAGAAAAGCCATATTTTAAAAACCCGATACAAGGAATTTGATAAGGAAGAGTGAATATTAAGGCATGTGTAATAACATATTTTAAAGAATAAGCAAATAATAATAAAATGACAGATTGATACTTGTTTTTGACGGAAAACTTAAAACAAATCAATAAAAAATGCGCCAATTTGTAAAAAAGAGAGCTAATAAAAGTATTGAGTGCTTTGTATTGTTTTTACAAATCTTGGGGAATAATTATTTTCTTGATTGATGATTAATTAAATATTCAGTTTGAGAAGTTAAATTCCTTGACATTTTCAGATTAGTGGACTATTTATTTTTATTTTATTATTATTGCAAAATATTAGATTTTGTATGATTGTTTTACTACCAATACAAAGACAAAATGTAACTTCCAATATACAAAACCAGTTAATTGCGTTACTAATTACCTTTTTGTAAAATGATACTTGGTTACAAGATGTTTTGATTTTCCCAATCTGATCAAATGTAAAATTACTTTGAAATCTGGATAATTCACATTTTAAGCATTTGATAGAAAAGTTCAAGGGCCAGTTTCCAATATTCTCCATAATAAGGTCAATTCGTTTGTTTACATCGTGAATATTCATTATATATCTCAAATATTGGGGCTCTGATGTGTAATTCAATAAATTAATTAATACTCTGTCAGATAGATCATCAAAGTTACCAAAATGATTTTCCGAAATAATGTCAACCAAGCCACACAATACATCCCAATCTGTGTCTATATGAATATCTTCTTCCAATATTTCTTTGCCTACTTCGAAACTGCTATTTAATGGACTGCCGTTTAATGACGTAACATCACATTTACCAATCTGTTTGTTTATATATTCAGTTAAGGTCTGATAACTGATACATCTTTGCAAGCTTGCTAATATATCATTGTGATTGAATATAGCTTTCAGGTATCTAATTTTCGGTAATTTGAGATAATTCAAGAAAGTGGAAATTCTAGTGTCCACTTCAATCTCCACGTTTTCTATTCTACACATTTCTTTTAATATAAAGGCCAAAAACCAGTTTCTCTTCTGAATGTATGTTATGACGGCTTCACTGGGCAAATATAACCTATTCTCCGGATAGAGCTCTTCTTGTGAAATATCTTCGTGAAAATACAAATTTACTGTTGGGAAACAATTTCCAGTGATGTGGTAGAGATAATCCAATTTGAGTAGTTTAAAGTACCTCTCAAACTCGGATGGATCCAGATCACGTTCGAATAACAATTTACCCATGAGTTCCGACCGATTATGTGCAAGTAGTTCAAAAAATGATGTGTTCCTTCCTTTAGACACGATGTCGGAGCAGTCTTTATCGATATAAAGAATTTTTGAAAAAGCTTTTAAATAATTGTAGAATTTCTGTAGATATTTGATATTATCTGGTTTTTCTACAATCTCATTGCATATGCCATTGAGGTTTAATAATGACTTATGACTAGGATGATTGCTGTTAAAATCTCCACTCTCATTGATGGCCAAATTGTTTGTAAATTGGTCAATAGCTTCCATTAAGCTTTTGCCAAGTGAATCATTTTTTCTATAATTGTCTATATCAAGCGGAATGTTTGATTTCGAAAGAATCTGAGGCAGGGTGAGGTGCAGCTTGATGCAGAGTTCACTGCACAATTGAAATATTGATTTTGTGAAATTACCATACCTTGATTCATTGGAAACTGTGTTAAAGTTAGAAGCCAACTGAAGCAAAATCAAAGAATCTTCAGGATTTTGTAAATAAGTAAAAGAAAGATCAAATACATTCATAAAAAGTTTTTGGTCTCTTTGCAAATCGGCATCCTCAATCTCAGTTGCTTCTTCTGAAGATTCATAATGGATGATGGGAAAAGTACTGAAAAATTTTAACACTATTTCATCAATTTCCGCTTTAATGATCATATTTGGGGCCTCTGTGTTGGATTTCTGAATGGACTTCATTTTTGATACTTTTCTTAAATCCGCCTTCAAATTTTGAAGCTCTGAAGTGAAGTCTAGTTCATTGGATATAAAAGATGATTCAAGATTAAAAATCTGAAACAAATATTTAATAATAGCAAACAATCACTGTTATGATTATAACTGACGGAGAGAATGATAATATTAAAACTAACATTTAATTAACAATAGTATATTATGCAACAAGATTAATAAATGCCACTTAAGTGTTCAACTTGTTGCATACTATACTTTTTCTAAAACACTTTCCTAGCAGCATGAAACATTCACAATGTTGAGTAGATTGCCTTACAATCAACCAAACACAGTCTACATGCAAATTCAAATTGGGGCTTGAAGAAAAATTTCCATATGCTATGAATATGCATATGGAAATTTTTGATGATTGAGAAGTTGAATAGAAACACAAAAAATATTAACCACTTTTTGTCTGGAACAAAATCTTCAATACACTTGACCGTTTTAGTTGCAAAATATGAGATTATATTCATAACATAAAACACTTTTGGTTACATTTTCAAGCTACTTTGAATTTCGGTTAAGTGTTATTACCTTTAAAACCTGATATGCACCTTCAATGTTCCCCTTCTTCAAGCACATATAAATCAAACTTTCTGGAGGAGCCAGCAAGTAGTTTAAGAAACCCTTTCCCTTTTTAGTTTTCTTATCAAGCTTAGAAATCAGCTGAAATCTCCACATTGCATCGGAAACACACTTGTTAAAATCTTTAAACCTCTGAACCTGCTCGAGTTGAGCTTTGCTATAAACTTTTTGTAACTGCAGCACATCTATTACAGATTTCACTAAAAACAGTACAATCCTAACTTCATTTTCATGGCAGATTTGGAATTCAGTTTCATCACATTTGTCCCAATCAGATGTTTTTATGCATTGTTTAGTTAAAAATATCATAGCAAAAATATTTTCCAACATCTCCAATTGAAGATCTTTATTTTCAATTTGTAGAAGTCTTGTTTTTATTTCATTCAGCCTGTGATTCACAGCCTCTTTTACATTACCAGAGTAAGTTATAATATTAAACATGGCTGTTAAAATTGAGAAGCAGAAAAGCTCCTTTTTCTGATCATTAATATCATAATCTAACAGTTCATTACAGATATCAAACTCTGCAAGCATTTGTTCTGAATTTATTTGTTCTATATCCAGGTAATGTGATAATACATCCAGCATTGAATGCCTACTTGAAAATTCAAAAATTCTAGATTCAAGCAAGTTAGGATCAAGGTTTTTACAATAATCTACAACTTCAAGTAAACACCTGACTTCTTTAACATAAAATATGAAGAACTCATCCAGATTGGAGAGTTTTACTTTATTCAATATTGCTCGTAGGTTTGAACTACTGAAGTCATAATTTAAACGATTGCTGGTCTGAATCAGTTTTAAACAACCAATCTTATCCATCACTTTCACAGGAAATACATCATTATAGTCATAGTTATCTATTACTTCTTTAAGCCAGTGTTTTTTGAAAAAAACAGTAAAATCGTATAGTGAATATGCATCACTGGGTACCAAATGAAACTTCCTTTTACTTAGTTTCATAAACATATTCAATAAGTTAGCATTTCTGCTAACCACCAATGAACGATACAACTTATCCCATTCCAAAAGGCCTGCCTGGGCCGAAGTCCATGTATTTAAAATAAAATCTTCAGAACAGTACTCATCTGCCTCCCATTCACATATTTCTTGGTAGAACTCATTAAGGAAGGATAAATTCCCTTCTAATATTTTTTCTAGTGAATTTTTCATTTTATTGCTATTGTACTTCTCATGATCACAAAAGTTGTCTACCATATATAAATAATGCTATCCACGCGCAGTCGTGTATTATCACATTGATAACAAACAAAAACAAAGACAAATTAGTTACCAATGTTTACGAATTACTTTTAAAATTTAAAAATGTAAACCTCGCCTCTGCATAAGCAAAAATCACTTTCCCGTTGTCATCAATCAGCTTGGGCCCAGCACTCATGGCCATTAGCCCTTTGCCCACATTTGTTCCTTATTATTATTTGTTGGTTCTTCTTTCTTTCTTCTTTACTTCTAATGGCCACGACTACATAAGGTCATTCAACTAGCTTTATTTGTTGGTCACTAGCCAACATAGATTCCAATCAGTTTGAAATAATTTTATTTTTTGGAAAGGGACCCAAGCACGGGAAAAAGGGCCGTAACACCCCCCCCCCCCCAAACCCCAAAAATAGCCTTTAAATATTAGTTTAAATAAGTTCGTATATAGGGTTTTTTTTGCGCTGCTCTTAGGCAATTTGCAATTTGCCTACCATTAAAAAATGTACTTTTTGTTTTTCTCTACATATTTATCATTTTTGCCATTTTGTTTATACAGAGACAATCATAAAATCAAACGAACTTTTTTGTGTTCGAGAGTGATTTTATAATTAATCTGGTTCGAATAGATGACTAAGGTAGTACAACTAGTCTGTGCTCACGATCCACGACGATTTCGCCAATGACCTATAAAAAAGCGAGAAAACCGCCACACATTCCGTGTTTTAACCGCCATATTTTTAAAGATATGAAAAAGTGCCATTTGGGTGTCAAGAGAGCGAGAGCGTGATCAATTCAGACGAGATTATTCATAAAACCACTCTCGAACTTCACAAGTACGTTTGATTTTGTGATTTTATTTCATAAGATCTTGTTCGAATAGATCACTAAGGTAAAACTTTAGCACCAGCATTTTTTAATTGATTAAAATAATTTTTGGCAAAGCGAATTTGGGCAAAAATTTATTTTTCACGTTATCCGACTTAGAACCTCCGAACTAGGCTAAAGATTGATATTAAGTACATATTGTCTACCAAAATGTTTAGATTATAAACGTAAAAAACGTTGTCTACAACACAAATTAGAATTATTAAGGGATTATATAAGAAATAAATGTGTACAGGACCTATACTTATTTAACAAAAATGTTAGTAGTTCCAACTAATGTAAATTCAGCCCGTTTTTTGTAGGAGAACAGCATTCTTAAAGGTTATGGATACCGCTGTGAATACCCCTACCCGCAGTGTGCGGCGGTTAATTCGCAGGCACAGATTGGCGAGATCGTTCTAAAATATATTCAGTATCGCAGTGTTGCCGCTTGTATCGAGAAATAGCGACAACTTTGAGACCATCTGAATATTGATCCATTTTTCACTCCGATATCACTTTCTAAACATTTTTGTAGAATATTTCTCTATATCTATCTCTAGCGGTTTTCGTGATATTGATTATTTTCCACATTTTCGGCTAATCATTGTAAACAAAATTAACAAAAAAATTGCTAACAAAATCTAATTACTTCGTTACTTTTACTTTTTTATTTTGTTAATTACTTACTGTTACTCATTTGTTTTTCGATGCAATGATTACTGTCAATAAACTATGATAAATAATTAAATATGTGAAAATAATTAGATTTTGTTAGCAAATTGGTTTTATTTCGAAAACTTTACCATTTAAGTATATACGTGAATTGAAAGCGCTTCTAATTATTTATCACAATACTTAATAATAAACAGGCTACTCCATTGGAGATTTTTTTAAAAATATTGTGTAACGCAGAAAAATTATGATTATGTAAAAATCTTGTACTTTGTAGGAGCTATCACCAGCAATGAAATCGCCGTGTAAAAAGTATCTTTCCGCTTCTACGTTATCTAAATATATGCCGTTCAATTTTTCCAAACGACCTTGATTCCTTGAATCAACCTTCGCACACATTGGTGCACTATTCCGGCCTCGCTTTCGACTTTCCTAATTTATCCCACAGGAGATTAATGGGCGCAGAGACACGCGATAGTCCGGGAATTTTTGAGATATAAGTGGTGAATGGTGAAAACGGATAACTAAAGTAACACAAAACATATCCGTAATTTCATGAACAAAAAACTTTAAAATTTTCACTTTCCTTACTTTAAATAACCTTAAAAACTTGCTCTCTACGTTTTAGCTTTTTGGAAATTGTTGCAAGTAATATTAGGAAGTTTACCAAACGTGTTGCATACTATACTTTCTAGTCACACACTTCAGATAGCTAAATATGAAAAATAGAATATATTTTCAATTCGTTCTCCATCAGCTATTCGTGCCACAATATAGCTACTAGAGGTATAGGTGCCCTGCTTATGGTGGCGGCTGACAGATCTCCAATAAGGTTGGATGCGATATTATTACGGCAGTATTTACTCAAACTATGCGGTGCAGGTGTGTAGGAATGAAAATTAAAAACTAAATAATAAGGCTTCCAAACGCTTTCACATATTCGAACTATTTAATGACAGTGTTACGCGTAACCACAGATTGATAAACAGTATAGTAGCCTAAGGACTGTAAAAATGCTTTTTTCTACTCCCGTCTGTAAAATACATAATTACCCATCGATCTAGCATGCGGGAAACGTCACCTTACCACGTCAGTTTCCTTTCCCACGGATCCGACATTTCCGGGATTTTACCGCACAGGTTTGGGAGCAATCGGATGTTTTCAAAGATATTTCCCACGCGTTGAATTTTAACGTTTGCCAATTCTGACGATCATGTCAGTGAATGCATTCGTGCGGTTTTGCGAAAATGTACCCAAAAACTAACGGTCGTAGAAAAAGTAAAATATGCGTCCGGTAAACTTTTTAAGTCACTCGCTCAGTTGCGCTCCGCTTGTGTCAAATAAACTCGTGAGTCAAATGCCGTTTTCCGCATATATTCCGTTGCATAATACACTTTTTTCGACGATCATTAGTTTTTGGGTACATTTTTGCAAAACAACACGAATACACTGTCATGACCTTCAGAATTGACAAACGTCAAAATTCAAGGTGTAGGTAATATCTTGGAAATATCCGAAATGGCTTGCATCCGTAGGAAGCGTAATGTCGTAAAATGGCACTCTCTGCTCGCTGAATCGGTGTATAACAATTAGGGGGAGTATTTCTATAATTGTTTTCGTTTATGAGGTAGGCAATTATACTTATAGGAGCACAAATTAAGGACAATTTAAGCCAACAAAAAAAAATACTCTGAGCAGAAGAAAAACATGTTTTAATATGTTTCAAAAGCATTAGCTTTTTGGCTAACCAATATTAATAATAATAATAGGAAAAAGGTCCTTACACTGGGAAACATTACACCACAAAAACAAAAACTGGACCACACTTATATCAGTGAAAGGTCTATACGTTAATTCTGTCGCTAGGGTCAAGGTTTTTAAGAAGCTATCAGTTTAATATACCATACTAAAATGCCTAAGACGTCGGTGTTGTATATTGTTCTAAAGAAGTGCCCTCTAGGATAGGCAAAGATGAGAAAAAAATAAAAGCAAAACAGACTGGAGAGGCAAACAAGAGGAGAAAATACAACATATTAACATAATAATTAAAAATAGCCTACTCCATGGTTCAAAAACCTGGAGAATCAATGAGAAGAAATTGTAAATATCCCTGCCAAAACATTTAATTTTTGTAGATGTTGTTTATGATTTTATCTCACCAAATGGGGGATTATTTATATTGAATGAATCGCGAAAGGGCAAAATAATGGAGCAGGCACTTTTAATGCAGAACATTCATGATCCACAGAACATAGTTTGTTCTTATTTTCTCTGCCTTGGAAAAATTTTTTTTCTTTTTAAATATTGTAAATGTATGTATTTTATATATTGTATATGTATGTATGACAAAATATCTTGATCTAGCTTATCCACTTACTGATTAGTCTGCACAACCTCACCTGTATGTGCTTAAACTTTGATATGGCTTTGTCGATTGTTTTCTATGCTGGCCACTTTTACAAAAAAAAATCTTGATTATCCTTTTTTACATGGCCCATGCGTTCATGTCATAGTTTCAATGAATTCTTAGTGACCAAGTTACACCCCACACACGATTTCATTCTGAACTTCATTATCCATTAATTTTCTCAATTGACAAACGCCAAAATACCCTTGGTGGCTTAAATCTACCGTGGTAAATATTTGAGTGCTCTGGTAATGGTCGGCTTTTTAAATATCTAACGAACAAGGCCGTCGAAAAATAATGCCCGACAATGAAATTGAGAGAACGATGTAAATAGGAGCTCCAAAAGCTCATTATTTTTAATAGACTGTGCTTTCCTGATACCGTTTTATTCTTTTATATATTATGCCTGATGTAAAGAAATTTAACCAAAATTGGAATTATTCATTTTTTTCATTCATTCATAACCGTAATTTTCTTATAAATTGTAATGCAAAGGCATAAAACGGAAAAAGGGTTAAGTTTTTTTTACCCTTAAAATTTTAAATGGAAATAGGTTTGTATCAATTTTTGTAGTTTTATTCAAAATTGCATCGTGAACTGAAAAACACTGTTTCGATTACACATTGTGTTATATTTTATATGCATATAAAATTTAGTCAGTGCTCCAGTTACGAAAGGTATTAATGTTAGAACGGTAGAAAATATTCACCGTTGAAAATAAACTTTTCGCTTTTGGACGTTTTTTGCTCATATGGTCAAAAATTTATTTAAATTAAAAGTCATCATTTCACTTTTTCTCAGAAAAAACAAAACAGTTTTGGTAAATTTTGGCTAGTTTCGGTTAGTTTAGCTATAGGATATACAAATAACTATTCGACGGGTAATTGCAGGTTAAAGTTAATAATCTGTGAGAAATTATAATTTGGTTACATTTTAATGATCTATTTTCATCAGCTTGATTAAGCTTACCAACTTAACTAACCAACCAACCAACCAGGGTTGGTTGGTCTTACAATTACTTAATTAATCAGGAAGACAAAATTCCTTATCATCAGCAAAAAGTACAAATACCTAGATACCATATTGAATGAGGCTCGAAGACCCAATTAGTCAAGCATTTGCAAATATACGGAAGAATATCAGATTTAAGATCAGATTGGCCAGATGTTATGTTTTCTCAATCTTTACGGAACGGAGTCATGGACAACGAACAAAGATGACTTAAAGACTCCAGGCTTTCGAAATGTGGGTATGTCTATATAATATAACAAAATTCGTAAAGAATAACAGGTCCAGAAATATGAAAGCGAATGAAAAAAGAAACAGTAAAGATTTTATAAACAAGAAAGCTTGCTAACCTGGGACGCGTTATGCGAAGAGAAAGGTACCATCATAGGCTATCATTGAAAAATATTATTATATTTAAAAAATACAACTTTGAAGCAATTAGTACTATTAGGGCAATTTGTGAAATATGAAAGTAATTTTAAAAAGTAATTAGTAGACTACCGCATATCCCAAAAGTAGATTTTTTCTAAAGGACCATAGCCATCGCTTTACAAATTTGTTTTTCTTTTTTTCTACTAGGTTTGAGATTTCTTAAACAATTAAAACATCTTCCATAGGAATACTATAAGATTTTTGGGGATGTAAGTTTTAAGTGAAAAATCGAATACAAATTTCTTAAAAGGGATGTCTCCGAAAGAAGCAAAATTAAAAATAAATTAACGAAATTGGATGCAGCTTTAGGCCCTAATTCAAAAGTCTTCCCTGTTGGTTTTGGAATTCGAAAAGTTGACATAACTAGTCACACACTTCAGATAGCTAAATATGAAAAATAGAATATATTTTCAATTCGTTCTCCATCAGCTACAATTGCCACCATATAGTTACTAGAGGTATAGATGCCCTGCTTATGGTGGCAGCATTTAACAACCATGTCCGCTGACAGATCTCCAATAAGGTTGGATGCGATATTATTACGGCAGTATTTACTCAAACTATGCGGTGCAGGTGTGTAGGAATGAAAATTAAAAACTAAATAAGAAGGCTTCCAAACGCTTTCACATTTTCGGACTATTTAATGACAGTGTTACGCGTTACCACAGATTGATAAACAGTATAGTAGCCTAAGGACTGTGAAAATGCTTTTTTATACTTATTTTCAAAATGACATTTGGTTGATGTCCAAGAAGGATATTTTAGAACTTGAGGCGTGTGCAGGTATGAAAAGAAAATTTGGAATGAAAATTGTGCATATAGAGTGATGTAGTACGTAGTAGTGGTAGAATGATATTTTCCGATTTGAAATGTACTTTCGTCTTTGTGTTGGAAATAGTTACTTTGACAAATTTAAGTTTAAACTTTATATTTTTATTCAAAAACTTTTTTGTTTCCTGCAATTTGTTCATGGAACTTATAGGTTCGAAATAAAAAAGTAAAATGTAAAACTTTACATTTCGAGATTGCATGTTCTGCGCGAAGAAAAGTAAATTCACTTTTTCTGCAAGCTGCAGCAACTCCCGCAATTAATACTATCCTATATAAAAAAAAAAACAAATTGGTGGATTATTTAAACAGATGTAGCTTACTCTGATCATCAAATGCTGCGCATACGCAGCTTCTCTCAGAAATTTGGTTGTTTCCGTTTTTCTAAAACTTGAGATTTTTAGGCTGGTAACCTCCAGAGTGTCGTTTTAAAAATTGAACTAAGTGTGTATATCTCTTTATATCGATATTTGTTTCGTTAATATCGAGTTCTTCATGTCCTTTTTTTGTTGCAAATACGAAAACAAAATTGTTTCGTTCAAATACATATTTTGTTTGCACATTATAAATTAAATTTGACATGTTCCATGTCATATTCTTATATATTATATAAATTTAATCTCAGTAATAAATATTATAAATAAATAAATTATTCAGGTGAATTTTAACTCATTTTCAGAAATTATTAACAAGTAATGATTGAATATTTAATATATTTATATCGATATTTTATTAATTTAAACCAAATAATAAACATCACATCAAAATTAACGCACCACTAAAATTTGGGTCAATTTTCTCGCTAACTGCTTACTCGGTTTGGATATATATTTCTATAATTGTAGTATAAATCTTCAGAATTTATTATTTGAATTTATGTTTTATTCATGTACAGAGAGTTTAAAGAAAAAGAGAGGGTACTAGGACAAATACATCTATATTTGCAGTGACAGTGGAGCGGTTGTCGAGGCTCTTCTTTCTATGAAGGAGAGTCCGGGATTGCTACTTGACTGTCGAAAAAAATTGACAAGACTGGAAGAATGTTATTCAGTCAATCTGGTCTGGGAACCCACTGATGAGGTTATTGGGAGCAACGAAATGGCTGGGGACTGGAGCCTTCCATTGGAATAACAGACCGCTTGCTGAAGAACGAACTGAATAAATGGCTCCAGAGGCAGTTCGCTCTGCACTGGAAGACTTTACCGGAACTGGGGCAGTCGAGAGTTCTAATTGCTGGACCCTCTGTGCCTCGGGATCGAAAGTGGGCTCTCAGTCTCAGTCGCGCCCTCTTACGAATGCTGTTAGGAATCCCAACACTGCCATCTAAGATGGCACCTCCTAGTTGCGCACCAGCAGCCGATTAAGAGTACTAGGAGCTCAATTCATTGAGCGCGAGCAACAATCCACAGTCTCCATGAAAGAGATACTGACTTTCATCAAGTGTACAGGCTTCTAGGGGAGAAGTGAAGACGTGCGGGCATAATCCAAATAATCCAAAGTTCTGAATGCAGCGCCCTGGCCATAATGGACAGGGACGCAACGCAGATAGAATAGGAACAGGAATAATCGTAGCTTAAATCTTCATAAACGATGTTAAAATAAAAACATATTTAAATTTATTTTTAGGCAGTTACAGAATGTTAAAAAAAACAATATTTGCCACATTATGTGTTAATTTCCGTCAATATTATTAAGTGTCTATTTAACCTTTAATCTTTTCGTGACAATTGCAGTTTATTACAATAAAAACTGAAACAAAGTCAGAAACATTAAACAAATAAAAAGTCAATTTCTGGCGTTTCCTCCTTTACTAGTTATGACTGATGACCCATACGTTGAACTAGACGTTTAATGTGTGCTTGATGGATATTAGTCTATATTACCTGATAATGTGTTCTACATCCATGGAAGCAGGTGGGGCTTGCTAATCTCTAAGCTGCCTACCTTTTTGACCAACTGGGGTAAGGTCTGGGCTGCCAGTTTAAGCTCTCAATATTCACCTCATTTAAATGAGGACTATTTCTTGCATAAAAATAAGATGCTGAGAAAAAATGGGGCTATGTATGTAATAATGTTGATAGGAATTCCCAGAGAATGTGTCAAATATTGAGTATACAACTGGTTTTTCTATAAACATTCTCTATATGCCTAAAACTAAAATTTAAATAAAAATGTATTTTCATAACACCGTTTTAGAAGAAATAATAGTAAAAGTTGTGTTTTAGATGATAGAAAATGGACTCACTGGTTTATTTACTTTATTTTTAATCAAACATTTTAAAGACGTCCATATTACATCCACTCTATGTAATCTCATTTCTTAAAAGTTGTGTCTATGTCCAAATCTGTGACAAATAGACGTCCATCCATAGACATCTGTAGGTACAGGTACGGATGTGTATAATGCAATACAATTCAAGAGGATTAAATTATATCAAAATTAGAAACACCGTTTTTCGTTTTTCGTGGTATTTTGCTTGATGACTTGATCGGCTCTTTCGACGAAAATCTACTCTTTACAAAAAAAACATTTTTCCAGCTGGTTGCAAAGAAAATTATTTCCAAACATGATCCTGCTGAAAAATAAGGAAAAATAATTTGAGTTGAGCCACTCCATATGTAACGGTTTATGAGATATGTATTATTTGTTAAGCGCGTGCACGCGTTAGGATCGCAAAACAAAGAAAGAAAAATAATACATAGTTCTTCAATGTAAAAATACTACAAAGCTTATAAACAAGGAAGTTGTGGCAGCACGCTACGCGTAGCTTATTGTGTGCTTCGAAATTTCCGATCTATTTTGTATAAGAAAAATTATAACAACAGCTGATTTGATGGCGACGCCAGGGCATCGCGACGCCGGCAGTTCGGGCGACGCCGCGATCTGGGCCAGTTCTCGTTCCCGACTTCGCCCAGCATCACGCGAGGCCACAACGCACGAGCTCTGCGAATTATTTCGCGATTTCTTTTTTAAATAGCTGCTATTTAAAAAAATATTTTTTGACCCCTTTAAGATTTTTTCTATTACATTAAGTCGTTAAGGATGGCACTTCGGAGAACTTCAAGTTAGGTCTTGGTAAGTGACGTAGCTTATTAACGAACGAAATGTGGTTTGATTGTTTTTTTAATTTTATAGTTGAAATATATAATTGCCGTTGGGTCATGGGAGCAAAAAAGTTTTTATTACAATTAACGTTTCTTTTAAGTCCAGTTTAAATTTAATAAAAGATTTAATCAATAAAGTTGTAACAAACCTAGTTTAGGAAAATAATTAATAATTAATAAATCGCTTTTTAACACTTCCAGTTGGGTATGGTAAAATACTGCTTTTTACTTAGCCGAATAGAAAATTGAGGAAGTCTTCGTGATTTCGTATTGGATTGGATTGGAATGAAGTTGTGACCAATTTGAAAGCCTCTCCATTTGACAATTACTACGTCAGTATTCTTATAAGAGTTCTGCCTTGAATTTTAGAAAACTTGTGAAACCGTTAGCCGTTTACGAAAGAAATCATCGGCCTAAAAAGAAATTATAAAGTGACACCATCTTCACGGACAACGCTGTTATAAACTGATTCATTTCATTTTGCATTTTTGTAGTTAACACTTTTTTTAATAACATGTTATTTGTCGATCGAGGCTTGGCACGTAAAATCCACTAGCTGGATTCCGAGAAAATTGACCATCTTGTCACTTCTCAGCGGATTATAATTCTGGACCTCAACAGCCGAAAGCATTAAGTCCATCTTTTCACCATTTAAGAGTGCATCTTATTTAAAAAAATATATATTTCTAATGATTATGAAGTCACATATCTATCCTTTTCTATGATATTCTAATAAAAATGTAATGCCGACTCATCTTGTAAAGTAAATTAGTTTAAAGGGTTGAATCATCTAGGTAGGTGCTATATCCAAATGTAAAAGTTTAAGATTTATCTTTGTTTGTAAGTTTATTGTTAGAAGAGCTTTAACATTTCACTATTTTTTTAATACATACCTCATTAAAACTTTAAGGATGAATGAAAACTATTTTTATTTTTCAATACCAAAAGTATTGGTAAGTGTTTTTGACGTGCTCGCTTAGCTTGCAAAAGGAACTCTTCATTGTAGATTTCCTTCCTAATTTAGAAAAAAGCAGAACATCATCTTTCTAGAACTCAACTCAACTAAGTCACAGAATCAGTCGTAATATATTGAGTTCAGTTTAAGAACCAATGAGTGTTAACTCCAAATAGAGAAAAAAAGACCATTTTGCTTATATTTTTATTAATATTATGTACATTATCTATCTAACCTTGGGAAGCAACTATTAAACCGAATTACTATTATTAAATGGCTAATTAGGGCATATACTTGCATCTGTAAAATTGGTTTCCTGTAAAATTTTGAAAACGAGACTTAGTTATAGTTAAGTTCCCGGTCAGGAGTTGAGAAATATATATTGAGTAAAGTTGACGTACCAATAAAACATATTTTTTGACTTAAAGCATGTCATTTTAAATTAAATATATCAATATACTCTTGATAGTGGTACGAAAAGGACGGAAATTGATAACATTAAAGTTTTTCATTTCTGGGCTTACATTGGGAAGGTTCTCATGTGCAGATTTTTATTTACCTAAATAATAGAAAACTCTCGATTTAACAACCTCATCACCATGTGTTATTCATTTTTTTATTTGTTAATTTTCTGTACCTGACAAAAATGATGTTGAGCTTTGCTTATAAAATGAAAAAAAGTTTTCAGTTAAGAACGTTCCCTATCTGTTTTTTTTTTAATTTCGAAATAATGTTCTCTGTGCAACTTGTAACAATGTCCTAAATATCGATAATAACAGGTTAAATAAAAAAATATTTCAATTTTTCAAGATCTGGAATTTTGAAATATACTATTCTCAATATTTTTTATATTTATGTCTTTATTAGGCTTTGAACTAATTGGTCGGCATGACTCACCAGGTCATTTGGTAAAATGGTGAAGTTGTAGTGATCAGAAGGAATATAATTTTATGATTTTCGTTCTCTACCACGAAAACATACGATTAAATCATTATCTTTGTTACATCATGTCTTTCGCAATACAAAATCCTATACGAGTGAGATAGTGTGTAATATCAATTATTTATTTGTTATTAAGAAAATGATGGGCATTCGGCTGGTTTACAGAAATTCAATTTCTTATGTAGTCCACGTTTCGACAATTTCATTACCTTCTTCAGGAATAATAAGGATTAATATTATATACAGTAAAATCGTGAACCATTAATTATATAACGTTCCTTGCCGTCTGCGTGAAGTGTCATCTTATTAATGGTACACGATTTTGCTATGTATATTAACCAGGAGATTAATCTATATTAGTCCCGAACAAGACGATAAAATGGCCGAAACGTCGACTAAATATAGTCAGTAATGTTTTCTGACTACAGACAAAGTAAAACAAAAAACAAAGCCTACTTGCTTCGCTTGATCGTAAAGGTGATGTTAGATTCGCTCATGCCAAAATTCCAAGTGTTTCTTTCTATTTTCTATCTCGGGAGCCTGTGACTGTACTGACATTGAACCATAAAGCTGTGGCATTAGTATCCAATTAATGTCACGCTTTTGCGTTATTCTGCGCATTGAATGAATTCCAATTTTTCAATTTCGTAACGTGTTTCGATTAACTAAGGCGTGACATTTCGGAAGCCGTCAAATGCATTCGCAACGTATAAAAGTTGTTGAACCTCAGCGGGCACAGATATTCGTGAACGTCTACGATCGAAAGCTGCTCACAAATTACTTTTATCTGTAACATTTATGTAATTTCTACATTTTGTAAAGTTCTAAGGATCCGTAACATTTTATAATATATTGTGTAACAATAGAAATTGCAACAACCAGTAAATCTAAAGAACATAAATGTTCCACCTATTGTACATTTAATAAATATCTGAAGTTTGAATAACGCCAAAAAATAATTTTATTGAGGAAATGGAAAATTACGTATTGATATAGCTTCGCTATTATTCGTTCCCTTTTAATTGCAATTCTAATAATTAAGTAAAGTAAATAATTATTTTCAAAGAATTATAAAGTATGACTAGAGGCATGTTTGTCCCCCTTACCGAACATTTCAAAAAATGTTTGGCTTATTTATTGGGCTAGGTGCGCACTATTTATCGGGCATAATGTTTTGTAAAATGGGTCATTCAACATAAAAACAATTTTGTTTTTGAAATGAGCATGTATTAGCATACATCAATAAATGTAAAAGCAATATTACTCAGAAATGCTGTAAAACTGTAAAAAATGCCAATGAATGATTGAAGAATATATTACAGGTAAAGTTTGTGTCGAAGAATTTCACTGCTCAAAAATCTTACCTGGTTTTCAATGATACGCAATTATTCAGAAACGGAGTTTAAAAAAGTGGCAATAGCAAACATGGTTGCGAATATCTGGAATGGATAGGCACAGAAATGAAAAAAAAACATATAATTGGACAAACTAACATAAAAACTTGACAGTAAAGTTAAGAACACTCGATTCAGGAATTCAGTGAGGTGATGTTTAGCGGGATGTAAACGATGATGTTTAGATGTGGGCTATAGATTTCGAAAAAACCTTCCATAAAGTCAGAGATGACAAAACATCGCAGATGTTGAATAACACATAGCAAACTTATACTGGAAACAGGATGTAAATATACGTTTACGAGATCGACTCCTAAGAAGAGATGGATATCAACGGAGGAGTTAAATCGGGCTGCATTTGTTAACAGAACAGATTTGTAACGAAGCTTGGGAAGATGTCAATGATGGTATAACGATAATTGGACATGCCTTGATTCTTGCTAGCCCCGAGGCACAACTACAGTTTCTAATGAATATGATGACACACTACTGCCAAAAGTGTGGTCTCGTATTGAACACAAGCAAGACCATTTATACGGTTGTGGAAAAAAAGCGGTATTATTCAGGAGAATGGAATTTATGTGAACGGTATTCCTCGAACATACCTGGAAAGCGTCATAAATGAAAAATTGAACAGCAGTTTCCAGCTAATAGCCGACATCTAATCGATCACTACACTTGAAGAAGAAGGAAAGATATAATTAAAGTACCTATTCAGGAAATGGTTTCAAAAGCAAGTGTCCCCTACTACCAAGAATATTTATCCAACTTGCTGGACGGGTGACGACCGACTGATTTAATGTAGTTTTTTAAGCTTCTAGACAGTCATAAAATCTTGCGTGGACAGCAGCGTTTCCAAATCTTTGCAGATTTTGCTGACACATATTTTAAAAAGTATTTGATTTGTTCATATTGCCACTGGTGACACATTTACCTTCATACTTTATTAAGGCAGTAGTGGGGATAGATATGATATTTTCAAGCAAATTTAGAATTAATTATAATTAGTTTTATTTTAGGATTGGTGCAATTGTTCCAAGAACAGGGTTAGTGGAGCAAAATTTTCATTTATTTATATTATATATTTAAACAGTCGGTGGTTACTCAAATTTGACGCACATATACTCCGGTTTCCTGTCAGTGATGTTTGCGAATATCTGCTAACATAGTAACATAGTAGGTGGAATTGTTAGAACACATTCATATTTGTATAGGCCAGATACAGTCATTCTCTAAATACTGATTTACAGAATTTTAAAAACTTCATCTTTTTCATCTTACATAAGACTCTCTATTGAGTGACAAAGACACCTTGAGTGAGTGCGTGTCGATCTTAAAATATTATGCCGTACTTTAGACTGGACTCAAAGTTTGAAAAATAAATCTTTTTGAGGGACTGTTTATTAACACATTCGTACACTACTAAGGAATTTTGAGTGTTATTTTTTCGGTCTCAACGTTTAGTTTAGGATTGCTTTGGAAAATAAAGTACGAGCCTGTTCACATCGTGTTACTTTTTAACAGTTCTCCCAAGATAATCTTATCGCATAACATATACATTCTCCATTCAGTTTAAAATGTACTAATCGACTCTAGCGTTTGACCAATATACTTCTTCAATAAGCGATAAGTTTGGTGACCACGGAAAAAGGGTTACGCACATGAGCTTGTCGGAGAATG